GAAACATCCAGAACCATACCAATTATTTTTTCGGTTCAGTTTGGTTCGGAGAAAGTCAAACGGTCAACGGATATTTTTCAGTTCGGAGTGATTTCGGTTCGGTTTTCGGAACAGTTCGGAATTCTCCGAGTCCCGTGCTCAACCCTATTCTGTTACTCAGTATTACAACATGTTTAAATCTCTGTGGGATGAGTATATTACATATAGACCGCTTTTTAAATGTACTTGTGGAACACTTGTTCATTGTACTTGTAATCGATATGATGCTATTGCTGCTGCTCAACAATCTGAAAATTTCTCTCATGAAATTTTTTGTGGGACTGAATGACTCATATTCTCCACTTCGTAGCCATTTCCTTTTGTCCACACCATTACCTTCCCTTTCGACTGTTTATTCTCTTTTGCTGTAAGCGGAAAGTCAGAGAGCCTTAACCAATACAACCAAATCCTTTGAACCTTTGGCCATGGCTGTCAAAACTAATCCTACCTCTCAAAACTACAAGCCAAACAAACCATCATATCCCAAAGATCCCAATAGACAAAATGCTACCAACAAACCCAAATTCTCTCACTGTGGATACCTTGGCCATACTGCTGACAGGTGCTATCAATTGGTTGGTTATCCACCCAATTGGATAGGCCCTAAAGGACCTAGAAAACAACCTTTTGCTCATGCTGTTGTCACCAATCCTTCTGATCAAAATACTAACCCTAACACTTCTGATGCACATTCCATGATTGATTATTTGTTTAGTGAATTTGTAGCTTTTAAAAGGGCTCAGGATGCTAAGCAGGGCAATACCAATTCTGGTAACATTGTTTCAAGCCATGTCATTGCTACAGCATTTACTGAGCTTCCAGGTAAGATTTCACATTACTCTTGTGCATCTGTTTCACATTTATCTGAAACTTCCTGGATTCTTGATACTGGTGCCACAGACCATATGGTCTGTGATAACTCTTTGTTTGACAACATGTCATGAGTACTTCCATTAAAATAAATTTGCCAAATGGTTTTCAAACTACTGCCACTCATAATGGCAATATTCAACTATCTCCAAACATTGTTCTTCACAATGCTTTATATGTTCCATCTTTTAAATTTAATCTCATTTCTGTATCAAAACTCGTCAACACTCTTAACCGTGGCATCAATTTCTTGTCATCTCATTCTGTTATACAGGATCTAGTCAGCACCATAGTGATTAGTTCTGCTGAACTTATAGATGGCCTTTATCATTTTCTTGTTCATAAACCTTTAAACCATGTATCCCATGATTCTCATGTATATACTGCTGAAACTGTATCCCATGATTCTCATGTTTCTGAACAAACTATCTGGCATCATAGACTTGGGCATCTATCTTACTCAAAGTTGAATAAACTTGATCTTTGTAAACCTCTTATTCAACATGCTACTACACCATGTGATGTTTGTCATTTTTCTAGACAAAAGAAACTTTCTTTTCCCATAAGCACATCTACAAGTTCATCTCCTTTTGATCGCATTCACTGTGATATTTGGGGACCATTCTCTATTGCATCTCATTCTGGTCATAGATTCTTCCTTACAATTGTGGATGATTACAGTCGAGTCACATGGATTTACCCTCTCATTCATAATTCTGAAACCAGAACTCATTTGACTAGTTTTATAACTTAGTTTTAACTCAATTCAATGCAAAAATAAAAGTTATAAGAACTGACAATGGTTTTGAGTTTCTACTTCATGATTTTTTTTCATCTCATGGCATTGAACATCAGAAAAGTTGTGTTGAAACACCACAACAAAATGGCAAGGTAGAGAGAAAGCATCAACACATTCTTCAAGTAGCTAGAGCATTGTTATTTCATGCATCTTTACCATTATTTTTCTGGATGGACTGTATATTGGCTGCAACTCATATCATAAATAGAGTACCTTTCACTATCTTGAACAATCAATCTCCATTTGAGTTACTTTATAAGAAAAGTCCATCATATGATCATCTCAAAGTTATTGGGTGTTTATGTTATGCATCATCTCTGTCTGCACATAGATCCAAGTTTGATCACAGAGTATCTAAATGCATCCTCATTGGTTATCCTCTTGGTTATAAAGGCTATAAACTTTATAACCTGGAAACCAAGAGAATATTTATATCCAGAAATGTGGTATTCTATGAGAATGTCTTTCCCTTTCAGTCCAAACCTATTGACTCTTCTTTCTTATTTCCTGAACCTCATTCTTTTCCTTATGATAATAATCCCTTACTTAACATACCTGTCAATTCCCAAACTCCACATACAGCTCAAACCATCAACTATCTCAACTATCAAATTCTACAAACTCTCAACTATCTCGACCAAATTCACCTTCCAATATTACACAACGTATACCCACAATCATTCCAAACAATCATACACTTATTTCTTCAAATAACACTCCACCCAGAAGATAATCTACTAGACCTACTAAACCTCCTTCATATCTCAGCATCTATGAACACAAACTCCTTTCATCAAATGCTGCTTCTACACCTTCTGGGACTAATGACATTTCTCAAACCACATCTGGGACATCTCCTTATCCTATGGTTAACTACCTGTCTACTTCTCATTTATCTCCTAATCATTATTCATTCACTGCATCCATAACATGTCAGAAAGAGCCCAAAACATATGCCCAAGCCATTAAAAATCCATTGTGTCAGGAGGCTATGAATAAAGAGATTAAAGCTCTTGAGCAAACTAACACATGGACCCTAACTGATTTACCCCCAAATAAACACACCATTGGTTGTAAATGGGTGTTTAAGATTAATATAAAGTTGATGGGTCCATAGAGAGATATAAAGCAAGATTAGTTGCTAAAGGCTATACACAGGAAGAGGGAATAGATTATTTTGACATCTTTTCTCCAGTAGCCAAAATCTGTACTGTTAGGTTTGTCATTGCTCTTTCTGCCTTTAAAAATAAAAATTAGCATATTCATCAACTTGATGTCAATAATGCATTTTTGCATGGTGACTTAGATGAGGATATTTACATGATCCCTCCCCCGGGTTATTTGTCATCTTCTGATCACAGGGTTTGTAAACTTGTCAAAAGTCTTTATGCCTTAAACAAGCCTCTAGAAAATGGTTCCAAAAGCTCACATCTTGTTTGATTGCATATGGTTTTAAACAATCTACTGCTGACTGTTCTCTATTCACTTTAACTGATAATTCTGATTTTATTGCATTATTAGTTTATGTGGATGCTATAGCGGTAGCTGGCAATAACATTGATAAAATTGCTGCAATCAAACATCATTTAGATTCTTGTTTCATCATTAAAGACTTGGGCACCTTAAAATACATAGTTGGCCTAGAATTTTTGCTTATTCTGAAAAAGGTATCAATATGTGTCAAAGGAAATATGCCTTAGACATCTTAGAGGATACTGGTTACCTTGATTGCAAACCATCTTATACTCCTATGGACCCAACTCAGAAATTTAAATCTGCTTCTGATTCTGATATTCTCATTGATGCATATGAGTTTAGAAGGTTAATAGGCAGATTATTATATTTGACCATTTCTAGGCCAGATATTACTTATAGTGTCCAAACTTTGAGTCAGTCTGTTGCTAATCCTTCTTCTGAGCATCTTACAGCTACACACAGTATCCTCAGATACATAAAAGGTACAGTTGGTAAGGGTATTCTTTTATCCAGAAATTCAGATATCTTATTAACTGCCTATTGTGATAGTGATTGGGCTAGCTGTTTAGGAACCAGGAAAAGTGTGACAGGATATGATGTTTTTCTTGGAAAATCCCTAATTTCTTGGAAGTCTAAAAAGCAATCCACAATAAGCAGAAGTTCTGCTGAAGCAGAATACGGAGCATTGGCCTCTACTGCTTGTGAGGTCCAGTGGTTGCTGTATCTGTTTCAGGATCTTAATCCAACCCATGGTCCCAGTTTGTATTTTCTCAGACAGCAAACCAGCATTAGCAATTGCCACCAACCCTGTATTTCATGAGAGAACCAAGCACATCCAGCTTGATTGTCATCTCATAAGGGAGAAGATAGCTCAACATTTAATTTCTGTCAACTATATCCCAACAAAAGAGCAGCCTGCAGACTTACTCACCAAAGCATTACCAAGAGCCCAATTTGAGTTTCTTCAGTCCAAGCTTCACTTGCGCAATGTGCATGCTCAGCTTGCGGGGATGTTAGAGATATATTTTCACATTAGTTGTTAATTTTATAATATTCTTTTATTCATTTTCTAAAGTTGCTACTTTGTTTTTAAGCAACTCTTCCTTTCTCCTTTAGGTTAACATATGTAATAGGTATAAATACCAAGAGTCATAGTAGTTGTACCCTAATTTTTCGTTCTCAGATATTTTCAATATAGCCAATGTTTCTTTTTATCTCTATCATTCTCCTCTCGTGTTCTTCAATCTTCTCTTCGATCTAGAATCTAACATAGCCTCTAATTAAATGGTTAGTTTCACAATTACATTTTTATTATAAAAATATTCTCGTGTAAAATGGAATTGATGCATAAATATTACTAGCTTCTCTATAGTTATAGGATAAAAAGTTATCAGATTATAAACGTCTATAGTTATACATTAATGTTTCCAAAATTTGAACAATAAGTCAACATGAAATATACCGAATTATTATATGCTTCACTTAATTAAGTATAAAACATGAAAAGTGTAAAGATCTTGTCATTGACTAGAAATGCACACACATCGCACATAACAAGGTCGGAGTTATTTGCAGTTGATCGTGAACTTTGATAGAGATTTTTTAACATTTTTTTTTTATATTAAACTAATTACTTTTATTAGTTTTATTAATTTATATTCAAAATCAAACGTTGATTTTGGACCCATAAATCTGTGAAAAGCTTTTTTGTCACTGTTGAAAGCCGAATAATTACAATGGCTTCCTACTGGCGCGTTTNAATAAATAAGTGGGCCTTTATAAACTTGCTCCACTTCATCAGTCTTCCCAAACACTGCCGAACTTTTCTAATTTCCTTAATTAGAAAGAAATTAACAGTGTTAATTATTCGTAATTATAATCTATACAAATTATTTGAAAATAGATGGCTGATACAATGACACAAGAACAGACGACTGAGTTCAGAGAAGCTTTCTGTCTGATTGACAAAGATTCTGATGGTAAGTTTTCTATTATTTTCTTTTACAATTTGTATTTTGCTTTAACTTAATGAACTTATATAGGTAATGCGGATTGTTTAGCTCTTAAAAAAATTGGTTAATATTTTTCATAGTATTTTTTTATGTTACAATACCAAAAAATATGAATCAAAGCTTTGATTTTTGGTTCGATATCTCGAATTGTTTACTCAATAATGAGTTTATTTTTTCTGATTATTTGTGAATTTTAATTTCTACCCGACGAATGAAGAAATACTATTAGACGATATTGAAGCTGATGGAGATCATGGCACTGTTGATTTCATAGAGTTTTTAGATATTATGTCAAGAAAAATGGAGGTAATTAATAATAATATTTACGTAGAGTAGTTATAAAATATTTAATATTAATTAGGGATATATTTAAATGAGTTCAAGTAATATTTTGCAGGAAAATATAGCAGACGAACTAAAAGAAGCATTCAAAGTATTTGATCGGGACCAAGATGGGTTCATATCGGCCATTGAGGTGAAAATTTATTTATTATTAAATTCCTCTTCGCAAGTTTTTATTGCCTTTTTTCTTTTATTTATTTGTCCAGCTGCATGCTTTTATTCATGACCATTGTTTTAAGGAAAACATTACTATACTTTAATTAAAAAAATGGTTAAATTGATCCGTTAGATACTCATGCACGCGGTAGGTGTTAAATTTTTAGTTACATACAATCTCCGAAAAGTTTCGTCCTTATTCCAGCTGTAAACAACGTGATTGAATATAAATAAAATCAGTTTTTACTGATTTTATTGGTTAAAATAATTAATTTTAAATAAAGTTGATTGAGTGAGATTTTGAGTTTGTATTTAAACATTTTTCAAAATGTGATAGATTAAAGTCGACGTGATACAAAAGTTGTAAATGATAAGTAATTAAAAATATATGAGTAGATAAATAATGAATTGAAACTGATATAATGTGTGAAGATATATTTGTATAGATATTATTTAAGTATATATATAATACTGAGGAGAGTTGAGTTAAATTAAATTCAAATTGAATTTTGAATTTAAGAGTATCAAAAAATTATTCAATCAATCAAAATAAATTATACTTTGTAGCCAGTCGCACCATAATCACATGCTCAATTAGCCACATATATGGGTGTGTTGATGACACGGTAGGGTCGAAGTCTTCACTACATTACAAATCTTTGACTTTTTAAATTTAAATGATACACTTTTAATTAGTAACATTCTATCTGATCTAATTACATTTTTACCCTCATATATAAAGCCAAACAAGACTTTTGTACAATCAATAATTCTTTTATTCTACCTAATGGTTAGAGCATCTTTAGTCATACCATTTTATAAACCTCTATAAACCTTACTTTTACACTTCCCAACATGCCACATCATCCAAAACTTCATCTTTACTCCTACACTCATAAACCTTCAATAACCATAAACCCCATAAACCTCATTTTTCATGGTCCTACATGTTTCCCACTTACTCTTATTTAATATTATACAATTTATACTCTTATACTTTTATTAATATTTTAAAACTATAACTCTATTTTTTATTTTTTTTAAATGTAAATATTTCATATATTTATAAAAAATATATCTAAAAAAATAATATTATTAGATATAATTGTATTGCATTATTTATAATTATATAGTGTTAAGTACGTACGAATGTATAGTTTTACTTCTAAAAATTACGAAACATAGAACTTAAATAATGTTGAAAATTAAATTTTGAGTACAAATCATTTCTAAATCTTAATCTTGGGAAATAGGTTCATTCCAAATGTTAATAAAATTTTAACAAAAATAGTTGAATTTTACAAAAATAAAATTTTAATTTTTTACCAATAAAGTTAATAAGAATCAATTAACAAATAATTCTTCATTTTCATTTAAATAAATATTCTTTAACAAATAAGTCTTCTTTTTACGTGGTGGGGCTCAACCATGGAGTATGGACAATTAAAAAAACAAAAGGTAAGGCATGTCAGTGGAATAGGTGGGCCACGGTAAGGTTTTGGAGATGTTTGACTTTGTAAAGCTGATTTGAAAACTCAAACCTCAAACCTGCCTACTTTAACCATAAACCTGAGAGGTTTATGTTTTCAAACCTCCCAAAAACCCACCACTAAAGATGCCCTTAGACAACCATATACTGTATATAAACATAAGTATGCCATTATGTAGAATAAATATGATTTTATCATAAGAAAGTAAGATTGACCAACTATTAATAAACAACCTAAATATGATTTTATCATAAGAAAGTAAGATTGACCAACTATTAATAGACAACCTAGCAGTAACATTCTTGTTGTACAATAAATGTATTTGTGTGTAAGCATTTTCTTTTGTCCTTACCTTTAATGTAAAAGGTATTAAACATTTTTTTAACATATTAATTTGTTGGATATATATGCAGCTGAGGAATGTGATGTTGAATTTGGGAGAAAGATTGAGTGATGAAGAAGCTGAACAGATGATAAAAGAAGCTGATTTTGATGGAGACGGACTTGTTAGCTTTGAAGAATTTGCCAGGATGATGGCTTCATAGTCCTGTTGATTATGCACAAACTTTCTTTTTCCTTTTTCCTTTTTTCAAAAATCATTACTAATTAGGTGTTGAAAATAATGTTTTACAGAGAAATTTTCTTAGCTCGTGAATAGTATAGGGAAAGTGTGAAAATGAAGCAGAGACATATATTGTAACATAATATTTGCTAGTCGTTAGAGCATGACTTGATACGAGAAAGAAGTTTCTAATATGATTCATCTCCAGTATTTTGTTCTCATTTTATTTTGTTTTATGGTTTCAATAGCAATGATATATATAATTCATTTAGTCATATATAGGCAAAATTCCAAAATTGGTCCTATAACTTGATCACTGTCCAAAAAATCACCCCGATATTGACCACTTTCAATTTAGGTCCTATAATTTGTCGATTTCATCAATTTTAGTCCTTTTTTATCCGCCCCTGGATTACAAAGTGACGTGGCATGACGTGTCAGTTTTTCAATGTTACATGGTGTGATTATGATCTACGTGGCACGTCAATTTTGGTCCTATAATTTGACGATTTCATCAATTTTGGTCATTTTTTCATGCTATGTCACTTTTTAATCCAGTGTGCGGATAAAAAAGGACCAAAATTGATGAAATCGACAAATTATAGGACCTAAATTGAAAGTGGTCAATATCGGGGTGGTTTTTTGGACAGTGACCAAATTATAGGACCAATTTTAAAATTTTCCCGGCATATATAATTCACTAGTTATTAGACTTATAGTTGTTTAATTCATTTTCTGTACACAAAAACATACATACATACATGTGAAAGAAAAAAAAATTAGTTAGCCTATGATAATATTAAATTATAAATAATTTTGCAAGATAATTTAAGTATATAGACCCACAAGATAAACATTGGCTATTTGACCATACAATTAATTTTTGACAGTAGTAATAATTACAATAAAACTTTAAAGAATGGCCAAGTAATAATAATTTAGATGAATAAGATTGATTTTTTTAAATATTGTGAAAATGCAGTATAATAGTGGTACAAATAAATAGGGAATTTTTTTTTAACCTCTCAAAGTAAACCATTTTTTTGAGTTTGCCATATAAACTTTTTTTTTTTTTTTGACAATTTGCCTCCCAATGTAATCAAAACTGACAGTTTGCCTCCTCGATTATGACACAAAAGAGTTTTAACTCAATTAATGATAAATTTTAAATTAATCTTTAAAATTGATTTAGGACTTTTCAAGCTCATGACGAGACGAACAAAATGAGGTATGGTTTGTCGATTTTTGAAAATTGATACCTCTAAAATCGATCCACGAAGCTAGGAGGAGCGGTGTATAGAAAAAATTTCCATTCAAGTTTACTGATAATCAAGATATATGATTTTCGATTGGGAGGTGTCATTTGAAAGCTTGAAGGACGAGTTTCTATCGAAGTAAATCTTATGAAAATCCAACTGTCGGATTTTGGTTAGTAGCCTAAAAAAAGCTAACTATTGATCAATAGTTTTCTAAATACTGATCAAAATCCGACCGTTGGATTTTCATAAGATTTACGTGTTAGAAAATTGGTCCTACTAACTTTCAAATGACACCTCTCAATCGAAAATCAGATATTTTGATTGTCAGAAAAGTTGAATTGAAATTTTTTCTATATACACGTGCTCCTACTATCTTCGTGGATCGATTATAGAGGTATCAATTTTCAGAATTCGACAAATTATACCTCATTTTGTTCGTCTCGCCATGGGTTTAAAAGCTCTAAATCAATTTTAAAGATTGATTTAAAATTCATCATTAATTGAGTTAAGAAACTCTTTTGTGCCATATTACGGTTTTCAATCAAAGAGGCAAACTGTCAGTTTCGATTACATTGAGAGACAAATTGTCAAGAAAAGAAACAAAGTTTATATGGCAAACTAAAAAAAATGGCATACTTTGGGAGGTTAAAAAATTTTTCCCCTAAAAAATATACTACAAATTTATTATTTTTTAGTTATATATTCAATTCGATATTATTAAATTAAAGACAGTTAACTTAATATACTACAAATAAAATATTAAAATAATAACAAAATATTATTAAATTCTAGATATATTGATAATTTAAATTATTTAATTATTTTGTAATTTAAAAGTCATGGCTTAAATCCCCTCTTCCCCTCTATATATAGCTTCAGAATGCGCTGAGCTTATGTGACAAACTCTCATGCTTCGGAATCCTATATATTTGGCAAAAAAACATGCTTTAGACTTAGGCTTGGACATAAATTAATATTTTTTATTTTTTATCATACGAAATCCATGATTGATATTTCCTTCTTTACTTCTACAATTAGTTACCATAAACTATTTTATATGTCATTTTCTTATATAATTCTTTTTTTTTTTCAGAACGAAAGGGAATATATATAACGAACGCACAAATGTGCAAAGATACAACTTGGAGCGCCACCCAAAGCTGAATAAAATGAGAGGACATGTCCGACGACCGCCTAGAAGCCCGACACTAGCAATCTAGAAACCAAAACAAGACACTCGAGACAACTACACAACAGCACAAAGAAAACTACAACGAAAAGCTCCCCACAGGAGAATAGAAACAGGAGCTGGTCCCCACAGGACAATAAATTGCTCCGCTCAAACTGAGGCCAACGGCCCATACCTAAAATACAGAACATAAGCACACAGGCAAAGTGCCCAGACCAAAAATACAAAACTGCCACATAAAACGACAAACACAAAACAATAAGAGGAAAAAGAAGCCCTTCCACATCAAATCAACTGGACCAAACCAGTAGAGAATAGTCGATACCAACTAGGGGTGTTCACGGTCCGGATTGGTCCGGTTTTACCCTAAACCATGACCAAACCGGACCTAACGGTTAATTTTTTTTCTTGTCCATAACCGAACCGGTTTATTTTTTAACCGGCCACAATCCGGATCGCATTGGACGGTCCTGTTTGGTGGTTAACCGGTTAAATATAAAATCCTTGTTTTGGGCCTTCAATTTTTTTTTTATTTTATTTTTTTATTTTGGGCTTAATTTTTATTTTTCAATTTTGGGCCCAAAAGAGATTATTTAGGCCTAAAAATTAAGAAAAACAACAATAATGAAATTGAAGGAAAAAATAAGCCGAAAAAAAGTTGGAGAACTGAGAAGCCTGGGAGTGGGAAGATGGAAAAAATTAGGGTTAACTCAAAAAATTAGGAAGAGAAGGTGAGAAAATCTGAAAATGAAAAAACGAAGGTGGGAAAAAGTGAAAAGTTTTAGTGTCTTACAAAATTAAGTCAACAAAAGGCCAAAGAGTGAAAGTGAATGTATTGTATTTGTCAGCCATAATGAATGACTGAATGTATATATATATTTGTTATAGTTTTTTAATATTTACCGGTCCAGTCCGGTTAAACCGGCGGTTTGCCGCAGGTAATCCGTTAACCGGACCGGTTATTCTGGATTTTTAAAAAAATTAACCACCGGATTTTTTAATCCCTTTTTAACTGACAATTTAACCGATCCGCGGTCCGGATTGACGGCTTTTTTCGGTTAAAATCGGACCGTGAACACCCCTAATACCAGCGAATAATCCAAGTTCAGGGACCACTTCCGAAACTGCCACAAATTACAAAAGCCGAACCTGAACACGAACTAAGCTCCGAAAAACGACCCGCCACCAACCGGAGGAACAAAAGCGAAACCAACCCCCACACCAGCTCCAACCATACCCTTCTAACACCACTAGTCGAGCTCGAGAGGAACCGATCCCCCGCCGCCTAACACCACTAGCCAGACGGAGAAACGGTGAGGGTGGTTCGGCCACTGGTCGTCGGCCTCCTCCACATTGAAAATGCCTCGGCATCCAGAGTAGCGCCCCACCCATAGCAACACACCTCCGCCCACCATAACCACAAACCCGCCATCAGAGCCCGAATATCCAGTCGGAAAGTCAAAGCCCACCAATAGGATCCCCAGCAACCCCAATCTCAACCCAACATAGCCAATAGACGGAAACTTACCTCAGAGGCCGCCCAAGAAGCCGGAGATGATCGCAATCAAGGATTCCGAGTTGGAGCGGCAAAGTACCAAGCTCTGACCGCCACAACCAAATTCATCGTAACCGCCAGTGCCCCGACCCATCCACAGACCCTCGTCCCTCCCGACACGACCACTGACCACAGGATCCGGCAACCAGCCCACAAGACCCCGCCGGAATAACAAATCGTCAGTGGGAGAGCCGCATCGATCTAGCAGCCTTCGGCAACATCGGAGAGAAACGACATCCGGGAGGGCCGAGCAGTTGAAGACAACCGCAGGCCCGAGTCCGTCGCCGCTGAGGAAGGCCTAACGATGGAGATTTACCGATCTTACGCTTCTGGATGACGACGACCTCCTCGGAGACGATATGGACCAGCGGGACGCCACGCCCAGGGGAGAGTCCATCCACCTATCCGATGACATTGCGCGCGATGCCGGTCTTTTGACTGTGCGCGCATCTAGCCCGAAAGGGGATGAGTCGACCCATTTCCTCCCTACTGAGATTGGGAGCTCGGCTGCGAATATATCCAGCTCTCAGCCTCCTTCTGGCAGCGAGCACCAGAGTGCTCCGCCTGTTGGATCCTCTCTTTCGCCCATTCCCGAGCAAGTTTGCGGTCTTAACCGCGCTCAGCATGACGTTTCGTGCGAGAGCTTCACTTCTAGTGCCTTCGTTCACTACGACAGACAGGAGACTGCCTCGGAGATGGGGCAACCTGCTAGTGCTGCTATAGGCCAGTCTGCCCAGTCAGACGACTCACAGGCCACGAGCACATACCGAGGCAGACAGTCCACGAGGACCAGAGCCACGCAGCGCACGACACGCCGGATGATCTCCCCTGCCATTGGATCCTTCCGCCGCATGCCTTCTTTCGGTGGCCCAACTCAGCCTCGCCATAGGTGGACTCCGTCCGGTGGCTCTTGCGACCGTTGATATGTCCATCACATCCATTACTTGGAATGGCCGTGGCCTGGCGAATAGGGCTACTCTCTCTCACCTTCATTCTCTCATTCGTGATCACAGAGTTGATTTTGTTGGCTTTATTGAGCCGATGATTCACACACCTTCTTTTGACTACTACTCGCGTCGTCTTGGCTTCCACTCGGGCGTGGGTAATATTTCGCATAAGATCTGGTTCTTCCACTCGCGTGACTACACTTGTCGGGTCCTCCGCGACACCGATCAG